ATTACACACTCTAAAACTGAAAGTGTACACTTTTTGGGCTTATGAACTCAGCAACTAAGGACATGGGCAACCCTACAACTGGAGATGACGCTTCAGGTTTCTTCATGAAGCAGAAGCCTTTGACAGCTACCTGCGAGCCCTACGCCTTCATGGCTCAGGACCAAATAGGAGAATGGCATCGCCTCCCAGAAGAGAAGGACCTACGTACACCCCATCTAGGGTTTAGGGTGTAGGGTTCCCATACATGGCTTCGATGCAAAATGTTGCCAAACCCCTAAAAATCGAATTCTGCATCTCTAAGCCTACGCCCAAACCCCAAATCTATACCAAGGCCCCACGACCAGCCCAGACCACTTCAGGCATCAGTCGCAGATGCAATTAGATCTGAAAGCTCCATCCCAAGAAGCTCCAACCTATGATCCGTAATTGATTAAGCGGGCCACCGTCATCATGTTACATGTCGCAAGTTGTCACTGCGACTACGAACTCAACCACCACGACGACTACTGCTGCGACTACCACACCGGCTGCTCCCAATACTTCTATTGCTACCCAAAACAGACCCCCCCGCCAACCCCCCTCCCACTCCCCCTACTACCCCGATTTCCTTTCTACCTTCTGCCCCTTCTCCCTACTCCTCACTCCTGCTCCTCTCCTGCTCCTTCTGCTACTGCTGCTGCTGGCCTGTTGCTAATGTCAGCGTCGAAGGAATATTTCTTCGGAACGGTCAGCCAGCCTCAAAGCCGCCGGGACCGAACATGGTATTTACTTTTTGTTGGTCGGCGGTTGAAGGGCAACGCGTAAAGCTTGAAGGGTGGTGGTTACTTGACGTGCCCGAAAACCTACACCGGGCTAGCGGGCTACAAACATTGGGGGTCCAGGTAGAGATCTATAGAGTCAAGAGTCAACAGTACCGGCAGGATTCGGGCTTCATGTGTTCGAAAGGTTCTGTCCGAAACCCCAACCCTAAACCCCTAAACCCCTAAACCCTAAACCCTAAACCCTAAACCCCAACACGAACCCCAAACCCCAAAATAACCCATGGCTGAGGCTTACTGGATGGATCTGCAGCATGTGCGGAGAATCACTACTACTTCGACGGGTCAGACTGGAGTGCCAACGGGGGCCCCGGCCTAGCCAACAACAAGACCCAAGCAGGTGGCTGCGTGGCTTGGGCTAGAGCTTCGGTGCGAGCCCCGAATTTCGAGCCCTGACCCTCGAACGCTGAATCCCAAACCCTCAAACCTGAAGCCCAAGCCCTAAACCCTTTCGGCCCTAAACGCAAAGCCTTAAACTTGAATCCCATCCGAAGCCCAAAACGCTGAACCCTGAACTGCTCAAACCCTACAAACCCTAAGCCCGAAATCGCATGGATCCTAAACCCTAAGCCCTAAACCGTAGCCGTTTTGGCTCAAGAGCATTTTGCTCAGAAGGAAGCAGGCGCCTGTGAGGAAGGGGGCACGATGAGCTCCCGCACTCCACATTACATGAAGGAGACCGAGTCTGAAGAAGACAGACGGGCCGCTTTCAGCCCAAAAGGCACTCCTCGCGTTTTGACTTCTGCGCTCTTGCCTGGCACTGCATCGGTTTGGGTGTTTAGGGTTTAGCCTCAACAAAGAACATTCGTGCGGACCCGCGGCGTCTTTTCAGACGGAACAGTCCTGGTGAAAGATGTGTGCAAGCCTTGCGGTTCCCTTGATTTGATCCTCTCGAAGAAGGCACGGCCAGCATTTTGCGCATTGACCTTCGACGCCTGTACCATCATCAGCAACTTTTGCAGGGAGGAGTCGGGAAAACCCGATGGGACATACAACCGATGTACTCGCACAGGGCGCATGACTACGTTGTGGAGGAGTTCAGGTGTGGCATTGGCGGGTGTCATTTTCTACCAACAATCCGCTGAAGCTCAAGAATTGCTTGATGGTGCTTCCGAAGAATGCACGAAGGCAGGCCCGAGTTCCGCTCAGCAGCGTCGGCCTTCACCGCCTATCGAGGTGGCCCACTGAAACCGAGATTCTGTTCCCTCCAGTCACGAGCTGCAGCATTTCAGAGCGATGCCGCACACCCGACGACACGTTTCAATTGGACAAGTAGTCCATGCCATCCCACACCCCCGCCCTAAAGCCCAAATAAGCCTTAAACAGGAAAGCCCAAAACCTTAAACCCACCCGAAGCCCTAATTAATTCCTGAACTTGACAGGCCTTAGGCCCTCTCTTCCGAAGCCGAGGTAGGCTGCAGTAAGGCCCGGGTGCTCAATGAGCTTGCTGCAGATCTCCAGGCCAGGCTTTGCATATGGGCATTTTTTGCCACAGAGCTTTGGGTGGTGGGGTTAAATCATATAAATATATACAAATATATATATATATATATATATATATATATATATATATATATATATATGCACGTACATTTATTGCATGGTTGTAGTGATAATAATGATATTTACCTACATATCTAGATTTGTTCATCAATTTATTTCTTGATTATTCGTGAACCTAGTGTTTGTGTAGTCCAGGGGTCAACAGGTAATTTTCGTTAAACCTTATAAACCCTAAACCCCGAATTTGTCGCCAGGCTGGCACCGGGAGCTCCGATGCCAATGTGTCCTCCAGCCGATCGGATGGAGTCTCGTTTTGTCTCCTCCTCTTTGCTGCAGGGTTTAGGATTTAGTGTTTTATTCGGCTTGGAATTTAAGGGCTCCTCGTTTCGGCACTGTTGCTATCCGACTTAAACAGTGGGGCTTGAAGGCTTGGACATGTTATGCCCTGGGTTCGTTCATCCTTTTTTCCTCTGCTGTGAGCCCCCGCAAAAATCCACTGCAAAGATCCGGTTTTAGCTATTATTCCGGCCTCTGTGTCACCTTGGGTCTGCGCCCTTGGGGAACTCGGTCGCGCTGGTTCCTGAAGCGCGTAGCCAACCAGTTAGGATCTACAGGAGGACTTGCAGGACTTAGAGTCTAGAGTCTAGATGTCTCATGAAATCGCGTCTGGCAAAGTCCGGAACCGTTTCGAGGGCAGGGGCTACAAGATCTGGGCCCTGCATAATGTTTCCAGCGACCGGAAAATCTATGCATAAGGCTGCCTCGAACCTGTCTTTCGGGCTTGCTTAGGAGCTCGCGATGCTGTTCCCTAGGATTCTTTTTCATATTCATTGCACAATGGACACTGAAAACTTGTTCCAACTATGAAAGCCACCAGATCATGGTCACTAGTGTCACTATTGTGTTAACAGTGGCTGCTTGTTCAGATATATCTCCAGGAGTCAAGTTCACTTCTTTCGGGCTTTGCATGATGCAGGTTTCCGTGAGAACTCTCGACATCTCTTGAGTGTGCATCGATGAGGTTGCGAAAGAGTTGAACATATTATGCTATATTGTGTCATACAGTGCTATCCTGGAGTGTTTATATCATGCTGTTCGATGCTCGGTTATATCTTAATCTGCACCTCAAAGCCGTCATCGATGTGTTCAATAGCAAAACGAACTGCGGGGTTGCTTTTGTCAAAACAACTTCCATCATTTTAATTTCGCACTTATAGGGGTCCAAGTACTTACTCAATGATCATATACTCCCCAAAATAATAACCTACATATCTACTATCCTAAGCCCGAGTACCAAACTTTTCCTTTGGACCCGCAGGGTAATCATGAAGCGCTCCTTGTGCCAGACCGAGTCCGCACCCATTCCAACGAGCCGACATGGAAGATCTCGTCAAGGTGTCCCTAAATCCTGCAACCCTCCGTAACCCTTCCATGAACACTAAGCTCTGAACCCCAAAAAGATGATCCTAAGCCCTATACTCCCAAAAGCCCTCAGCTCGAGCCCCGATTGCCCCATCGCGCTCCGTGAATTCAGTGCCTAGACCAGCCAACAGCATGCCAGCCCCAAGGCAGCTAAGACGCCGCCGGTTCCTGTTTGCATTCTTACCTTAAACTTCCTAAACTCCAAACCCACTAATGCCTACAATAAACCATGTTCTTTGGAGATTTGAAGCAGAGTTGTTTGCACTTCTGAGAAATACAAGACTTTGCTGCTGTTCTGAAACCCTGTCCGTGCCCCCTTGCTCAATCCGCCTGAAGGCTACCGCACGTTCTCTGCAGACACCCGCGCCTGTGTGCTCGATGCATGGCCGTTCTAGACCTAGCGGACCTAGCGCACAAAAAGAGGAGAATGCAGTGCTTGGCACTAAATCCTAGACCCTGAATCCCAACAAAAGCCCAAGACCAACTTGTTTCAGACTTCAGTGTCTTTACCTTAGATTCCGAGTGTCTAAGTACGCACACCGGCCAGGATGATCATGGTTATGCTCAAGCCACAGCTAAAGGCATCATCATGGTCATCGTCCTCATTACCACTCTCATCATCATCATCGTCGTTGTCATGGTCATGATCATCATGTTTGTCACCTTCACAGTCTTCATCAGCATCAGCATCGCCATCACTATGAGCCGGATCTTCGTCATCCCCAGCAACATGCAACTCACCATCACCGCCAGCATCTCCAGCATCACCATGATCCTATGTAAGACTCTCGCAAGGTTCGCAACACAGGTACTGATTTAGCACATGTGATCTGGCTTGTTCCTGTTCTGCTGCGCAATACGGAAGCTAGTCCGTTTAAGTATTTCTACATGGGGAAAGGTTATAGGCAAGTAAACCCTAGACCCTAAACCCCAATAGCTGCATAAGATTTAGTTTTTGGGGCACGGTCCTCGCGGTTGCGATGAGACTAGGATGCAAGCCACGATGAAGAAATATGTCGATGAAGGAGTTGAAGCTGATGATGATTGGGATGGCAATGCTAATGGGCCTGATCCTGCTGCATCTGCTGCAGATAATGATACAAAATCATGGTCATGGAGATGTTCATAGATAATGGTGCTGGCGTCGCTGGATGTGATTTTGTTCCTGCACGTAGTATTGCCTGCTTCGGGTGATAGCGGGCTCTCAGCGACACGCCAGCGAAGTAGTAACGCCCTCAGCGACCTCTTTTCCCAAGCATGATGCGCGTCGGGCCCTCGGCGTTTCAGACCTTTCCGGTGGCTAGTTCTCTAAAAGAGGGTCCCGTTTTTGGGTCATGTTTATACGGATGCCGTACCATTTTGGGGACCGGAGCGTCGGGACTCCTGAGCCTCGTTACGACCCGGCTACAACGCTACACACTTAACACCAGGAACGAGGATGGACTGTTTTTCCTGTGACGGTTTGGTCTGTGGTGTAGAAGAGTTCTAGAAGCCCTGCATCCTGACCCTAAGCCCTAAACTCAAAAGTCCTACAAACCCCTAAACCCCGAATTCTAAACGGCAAGCCCAACCCCTCAACTAGGGGGTTGTCGACTTCTTGCCTACCGGCCCCAATCGAAGCCTGGTTTTAGGCAGTGCTCTTCTTGGCTTCCTGCTCTGCTGTCGGAGCCTTATCCGATCGCTTCGGCGCCGTATTGTGCTTGGGGACAGCTGAGCGCCGTTAGTTTATGGAGTTAAGGGTGCGTGTTTCAGGGTTTGGCGGTTTAGGGTCGAGGGCTAGAATCGTCGCTTTTAGGGTTTAGTTCTCAGGGCTTATGGGTTAATGAGCGGGTCCTGAGCGCTCTGCGCGATGTCCGGAACCCGAATCCTTAACTCACCCAGTGGTTTAGAATGGTTTCCTGGCTTTTGTACTCCGCAGAACCACAGGGGTAGTTCTCTAAATTGGGATCCCTTTTTCTAGGCCCCCAAAATCTTTCGGCACCCTTATTGTCAGGACCCTAAAGGGATTCTAATTTACAGAACTACCCGTGCGCTCATCACATTCAATTTTACGTCCGACAGCACCTCTGCCCGTAAACCTCCCCTCGAAGCCCCGAGCCCAAAGAACTGCGACCGCAAACTCGGAACACCAGTAAACCCGACATGCTACTGTAGGGGCCTCAACAATTGCCCATACTATTTTGGGGGGTTCCTTATTGGGCCCCGAACCCTGTTCCAATCATTCGGGCCCCTATATTAGACCCCCGAACCCCTCAACCCCAAACTCTAGCTCTGCAGCCCTAATCCCCGAGGACCCAGAGTAGGCCCTTATTCCCTTTTTTGATGCTTAGGTTCCCTTAAAAACCCCTTTAAACCAAAAAGGGCACCCTTTTTATTCCTAGGTTACTCTTAGGTCTAGTCCCCAAGCTCCAAGCCCCGGCACTGCCCTCAAACCCGTGGCTGCCCTTCCCGACCCCACACCCGAAGCCTCCAAAACCCCTTAATTAGGGAATATGCCTTAAATCATATAAGGGATCCTATTATAATTTAAGGTATATTCCTTAATTAAAGGGTTTTGGAGGCTCTGGGCACACCCGAAGCTCAAAATGAGTTTTGGAGTTTAGGGTTTCGGGCACGACACAATAATACGGGAAACCTGCAACGCCAAACCCAAAAAAGTAAGCCATAAATCGTTATACGGGAACCCATAAAACCCAATCCCCGGCGGAGGTGCTGGCTTTCATTCCTCCATCGCAGCCGACCAACTCCAAGCCGCAGGCCTGTGTCCAGAGATTCAAAGCCTTGGAATATGTCTTCACTGCGTAATGCATGGAAAAGGTTTTTGTGAGCAATTACTCGAAACCGGGCTAGAAAGTGGGTATACTGTCATTGAGTCTCAGTCTGTCGTTTCCGGGTTTGGTCTGGGTGTTTCGTTTTGAGGTTGAGTATTTGGAGATTGGGGCTTAGTTTGGGGTTTAGAATTCCAAGTGACCCTAAAGATTGACTTGAATTCTGCACCTTCAGAAATCCTAGACCCCATAGGCCATGGACCCTAAAACCCCCAAGCCTAAACCTCAGAAACAACCTGTCACAAGTCATAGGATATATGCGGCCCTGAATGGTTATTACCCTGATCATGGAATGCTACTGTATGGTTCAGGCTTTTGGGTTTAGGGTTCAGGTTTTGTAAGGTTTAGGGTTTATATGGTACCGGGCGGGCTGCGGGTCTGCGCCGCTCATGTGGAAAGCTTGGTACAGGGATTGAGGCTTGCTTTTCAGACTTCGGCGTGCCCCTGTCCTTACCTTTGGTTAGTAGGGAATGGAGGAATGGGGTACAAGTATAACCGCTACTACTACCATTCTTCCATTCCCTACTGATGGAAGGTAATTGTCTGGTAGCCCTGTTCACTCTCCCGTCAAATGGTTCATGGACCCTTAACGTCTCACACTTTATAGCTTTGTCCCGAAACATAGGGCCCCTGTCCTAAAGCCTATACGTTCGTGTAAGAGCCAACAAAACCCCTACATCGGAACATCTGCAAATCCTTGGATGAAGGTCGGTGGCGTCATCCCGAATAAGAATCCGGTTGTAGGGGATACTCTATATCCCAAGTATTCCTAAGTCCGAAACCTTAAGCCCTAGAACTAACCCGCTCGCTCGAATGGGGTGGTAGTCAAAATTATGGTCCCCTTTTGGGTCCTTATGATAATACGGCACCTAATATTTGGGGTACCCAAAAATCCAGAGCCTCCAAAACCCCTTAATTAAGGAATATACCTTAAATTATAATAGGATCCCCTTATATGATTTAAGGCATATTCCCTAATTAAGGGGTTTTGGAGGCTCTGGGAAGGGACCCTCATTTGACAGCCACCCATGTTTCAGCAGTCCTCTTGTGGAGGCCCCTGTCTCCTACGCCGCGCCAGAGAAGACCAGCGAGGAACCGATGTTTTGGGGTTTGACTTTGTAGGAGTTTCCGAAAATCAGGGGTACCTTACTTTGGGGGCCCTGATAATAAGGATCCCATTATTTTGGGTATTATATTTGGGTCTTTCCGTTTTCGTAAATTCACATGTAGGATTTTGCAGTTTAAGGGATTTGGAGTTTAGAGCTTGCAGGCATTAAGGTTGATTTTCGGTCGCAGGGTGTATGGGATTTGGGGCTGGGTGTAGGCTCGAGTTTATGGCATAGGGTTTGCAAGGATTCAGGGTCATAGGGTTCAGTTCAGGCTACAGGATAGTGAGGTTTGAGCTGGTTACAGTTTTCGGGTTTCAGCGTTGGGTTCACGGTAGGGTTGACTGTAGGATATAGGGCTTTAGGGTTTAGGGTTGCGTTTCGGACGGCTGTGAGGGTGCACATTCTTCTGCCTTTCTTGCTTCACTTCTGGGTGGTCCAGTAGTTGTTCTCCCTTTTTCTAAACCAGCTACACAGTCAGATTTCGTCAGGGGTGTTCGGGAAACCTTCTGGGAGTTTCCGAAAATAGGGGGGCCCTAATATAGTACCCTAAATAGTAGGATCCTTATTATGAGGACCCCCGAAAGAAGGTACGCCTCATTTTCGGAAAGTCCCTTCTCTTCAGGCGAGCTGGGGGCACCCGCGAGTCGAGTGGGGTGTTCTGATTCAGGGATCGAGTATAACAAACTCTACGCCCAAAGCGCTCTTTAGGGCTTGTGGTTTGGGGTGTTGTGTAGGGTTTAGAGTTCGGTTTGATTAGGGTTTCATGAGGGTTTGGGGTTTAGGGCTTAATTAGGGTTTAGGGTTTCATTAGGGTTTAAGGTTTAATTGGGTTTAGGGTTTAGGGTTTCGGTTGAGGGGCGAAGGTTCAGGGGCTTTAGGGTTTAGGGTCCAAGCTCGGAGCCTGACTGCCTGACTGCAAAGGTACTTGGATGGTCTTAGGGTTTACCTGGACCCTAAGGAACCTACCTTTTTAGGGCCCCCCCAATATGATTTCTTTATATAAGTCCCTAAAAAGTTAGGTTATTTGGGGTTAAGGTAGGGTTTAGGATAGTAGTTATGCTGGGTTGGCTCATTAATGTTTGGGAGAGTAAATGACTAGTTAGGTACTTGGGCCCTGGTTTGTTCTAGCCCTTTTGGGTTCTTACACTTTCACGGGCAGGGTAAGTCATACAGAAAACAACGGCGCAACCCACACGCTCGAAGCCTGAGCTTTTCGGCTAAACTTTAACCCCCCCCCAACATCAGAGCACTCCTGCATTTATAAGTATACAGTATAATGGGCCCCAAGCCCCTATTCTTTTGATTAAGGCCCCTGCATGAGTACTTTTCTGGGAGCCTTAGCCTTGTACTTGGAGGATCATGGGACTTAGTAAGTAGGTTATAACTGGGGTTATAAGTCCCCTAAGTGGGGTTATCCTAATTATAACCTACTTATAACCCTACTTACTAAGTCCCATGATCCTTTAAGTAGACCCTAAACCCTAAACCCTATAGATCCCTTTAAGGAACCCCTATAGATCCCTTTTAAGGAGCCCTTTAAGAAACCCTACTTACTAAGTCCCATGATCCTTTAAGTACGGTTACACTCGCAAGCAAACAGCCAGGCCGCCAGTCCGTGCCGATCTCAACATATTGCCGTGGGAGTTTGATCTAGGCCTTTATAGTAGGCCTTATCGTAGCCCTTATGGACCGCCCAGACCTTCCAAAATCCCTTAATTAAGGCATATACCTTAAATTATAATAGGATCCCAAATATGAGTTAATAAGGTATATTCCTTAAATAAGGGATTTTGGAAGGTCTGGGCGTTTATACGAACCCTTTCAAGGAACCGTGTTGCGAAGTATCAAGGCCCTCGTCTTGCCTGCACAGGCTTAAACCCTTATAGAACCCTATAGATCCCTTAAAGGAGCCCTCTAAATGAACCCTAATTAAGGATCCCTTAAAGAAGCCCTATAAAATAGCCCTATAGATCCCTCACAGGAGCCCTTTTTGGGACTCGTAGTGCTTTCGTTTGCATGGCCGATTCTGTGGTTCGCGACCTTCTAGCAACGATATAGACTACGTATGAAACCTAAGCCCGAAACCCTACAGAAAACCTCAAGCCCTCCTCAAACCCGAAATTCCTAAACCCTAAGCCCCAAAACCGTTAAAAAACCGAACCCCTAAACTCCAAAACCACCAAACCCCAAAACCCCAATTTCTACCCCCTACACCCTAAACTTGATTTCCCCAAAACCCTAAACCCTGAAGTTTTGGGTTCGGGGTTGGGCCAAGCTTTGACCTTCGGCTATTGGGCATTGCTGCAGCTAGTGAAATCGTTTAGGGTTTTGGGTTACCTTGACCTACCAAAACCTATTTTTTCGCAGGGTCCGTATAAATTCCATATAAGGGCTTATTATAAGAGCTTACAAGAAAGTAGGGATTGGTGTCCATGCCTATGGAAGTTTTTTCATATTCACGGCTTCGGGTTTAGTCCTCGGGGTTGAGGTCTTCGCATTCCTAAGCACCCTGACCCTCACCTGTAAGAGGGTATCAGGATCATGCCTCAACACCGAGTCGTTTTGGGGCGGCACAGTCATGTCAACATGGCCCTGGGAGTAGAGCCATGCCCGACATCCGGTAACCTGTCAAGAGCCTTTGCCTTCTGACATGTCACTCACTAGTGCAGCTTTAGAGGCGGACATAATATAGGTGTAGAAGCATTCTAAGCGAACTTCAGCAGGCACCCGAAACCGAATCTAAAGCCCTAATCCAGAGACCCCCAGAACCCCCAATTCTCCCCGACTTGAACGAATTCGGCATTTTTTCAACTAAGGGTCTGACCTTGTCTGTAAAGGGTAGGGTCCGTTGCTTCTGAAACTGTCTCAGAACCCGAAGTCCCCAAACAGTTTCGGCTTTTGGGTTTGGGGTTTGGGGTTTAGGGTTTAGGGTTTAGGGTTTAGGGTTTAGGGTTTAAGGTTTAGGGTTTAGGGTGCTGTGCACGAGAATCGTCATCCCAGCCGTGCATAGACCCTGGATTCCGTTACATTTTTGGGGTCTCTTTGTCCGGCTGCGGAGTCATTATGACGCCTGAAACTCTGAACCCTACCTATAGTCTCCATTGTAGTTCCTTTTTTTGGTTTCCAAAAACTCTATTAGAGGATCTAAACCATCATATTGGTTAACCAAAAAAGGAACTACAATGGAGACTAAAGGTAAACACTAAGTCCAGAGACATGCCGTGGAATTGACAGGGTTAGGACTTCGATAGGATCGGGAGTCTAACCATACAGATTTCACGGTAGAGCTTAACCCCCAAACCCTATAAACCTTAGGGCTTCTATATAGGATCCGGAATCCTAATCATGCAGAGTTCAGGGTAAATCTTTGCCACTCGAGGTTCTCCTCCGTGATCTTTGGTGCCAGCGTTGGCTACGCCGCTGCCGCTGTCGGAGCAGCTGCGCGCCAGGCCACTTTGATTGATCCCTTTCCTGCTAGAGTGTCACATAACTATACATGAGAAGGAAGCCATACTGTTTCATAAAGTAGTATATACTATTAGAATCTATTAGAAATAGTGTATAAGTCTAGTGTTTAGTATCTTGTACAAAGCTATATATAAGATCAGCTAGCAATTGGGGAGATCTGTGATCTCCATGTCATCGCCAGGGCCGCGTGACCCGCTTTGCTGAAGATGCTCCTGCCGTGGCGAGGCGGGCTTGCGCGATTCCTTCCCTCATAGGAGGCCAAAAGGGGTTTAAGCCTATGGGGGTTTAGAAGGGTTCGGAGATTTTCCCTAGGGGCCTACCTGGGGCCCTCCGTTGCTTAGGTTTTGGGTTGTTTAGGGGTTTGTTATTGTTCGGGTTTAGATTCAGATGTGCATGAATTAGTGTTCACTAGTTTGGGTTCAGGATTTTTGTGTTTGGACTCCCAGTCTAAGGCTTTCAGGAGCTTATCAGGTAGGCGTTCTGCAGCGCTCAATCCTGAAGCCCTAAGCCCAAACCTCTGTAAGCCTCATCCTAAACCCCCAAAATCCTTGTACGTCTTGAATTCAGGACTCCTACCTAAACCACAAACTCTGCAATCCCTATCCTAAACCCCAAAATCCTTAGAACCCTTCAATTCAGGACTCCTGTCGCTTACCCGATCTTCACCTTCCGCTGGCTGGCCATCCACGCTTTGGTGGCGCCTCGGTCACAGGGATCTACAGTTAGGGTTTAGGGTTCCGGGGTTTAGAGCCTCCAAGGGTAACAGGAGGGACCCTTAATAAGGCCCCCTAGGTATATGCCCTTAATAATTAATTATAGCTTATATATACCCATTATATAGCCATTATATAGCCATTATATACCCGTTATATACCCATTATAGGGTAGGGGTCCCCATTAAGGGTCCCTCCTTTTCCCCTTTGAGAGCCCATGAGGGCTGTTGGCAGCTCGAATAGTTGGGGAGCTCTAGTGCTTCAGGGACATGTCCAAGTCTCTCAGTGTTTCGGTGTTCCTGAAATCCAACGAGGCTCTCGAGAAATCCCCAAACCCTAAAGCCCCAACAGAGGGGTAAGACCCGAAGCATCCCTAAACGACAAAGCGCTGCATGGACAGAAGCCCAAGCGAGGCCTACTGCCAAACCGGCGCAAAAGCCATGGAGCCAGTTTTTGGAAGTCCTACAACAAGCACTATACCCTGAACCCTATTCCCTGTAGGTTCTTAAACACAAAGCCTAGATTTAGGGTTCAGGGGGTTTCAGAATAACAGGGTAGACCAACCCCGGACATTTCTGAACTGAAGTCGACAACATCCTATAGGGGTTTTTCACACATAGACTGGGGTTCCGGGGTATGTGATAGTAGAAGTACAGTCAGGAACTCTAAACTTCTACCTGTGTGTACATATACATATATACATGTGTACACACATATATATATATATATATATATATATATAAAACTTATGTTAATATATATATATATATATATATATATATATGTATATATATATATGTATATATATATATATATATATGTATATCTATATATACATATAATGGGTTGACTGCATTTGGGGCGCGTGGGAACGTCTTCACTGCATTTGGGGCGCGTGGGCGTTTCAGCAGCTAAAGGGTCGAAAAAGCTGTACAAGTTCCAGAAGTTCTAAAAGTTCTAAAAGTTCTACAAGTTTTAAAAATTTCAAAAGGGTTCAAACTGCGGAACTTTTAGAACTTCCCGAACTTTTAGAACTTTTAGAACTTTTGGAACTTTTGGAACTTTTAGAACTTTTAGAACTTCTTACTTCTAGAACGCATAATATGTACTCATATGCTAAAGTTTTACCATGATCTACATGTGTCTGTCTGTCTGTATGTACGTATGCATGTATGTATGTCTATGCACAAATGTCAAGCCATTTTCAGCCAAGGCCCAAACCTCCTTAAACTCCACGCAGACTTAAGACAACCAAACGCCACAGCATCTCTCTTGAACTCCTTTGCTGGAGACTGCAGAGGTGTGCCGTAGATGTCGCAGATGCTTTGGTGTTTACGGCTACGGGCACAAGCGTTTGCCAGGTTTAGGGGTTTGGGGTGTAGAAGTACTTTCTAGGCTGGGTTTCTGAAATGAAAGTAGCGAGGGTGTTTAGGGACTTCGGTGGCAATCAAAAAAGGTGCCCACCGTCTTCTTCCTCGGCGCGATCAGCTCCATGCAGCTGCTTCGTTTGCACCGAAGCAGTTAGTTTAGGGTTTAGGGCCGTTTAGGGTAGTGTAGGGATGTGTAGGGCTTCATTGGAGCTAAGTGTCCTGCGTCCACCGTGCACTTCGAATGCCGCACGCCGTATCTGACTTCAAATGCTCCGTAGCTATTTTCCGTAGGATTCCCTAAAGCAGCCTTTATACACGTACCTCCAAAAATTAAACGTCGTATTGTCTTATTTGGTTCGCGGTAATCGCTCTAAGCCCGCAAGCTCTAAAACCCCAATCCCCCAAACAAACCCTAAGCCGTCTAAACCCAAAGCCCGACAACCTTGACCCTTAAAGCCGGTTGAGATGCAATCCAGACCTTCCAAAATCCCTTAATTAAGGAATATACCTTAAATTATAATAGGATCCCAAATATGAATTAAGGTATATTCCTTAATTAAGGGATTTTGGAAGGTCTGGGAGCTCTCCTGCTTCGTTCCGCATCCGCTAAGCGCACACAAGGGTTCCGTGGAGTGATGTACGGTTTCAACAGGGTCTGAGAGTTTAGGCTTTAGAGTTTAGGGTTTAGGGTTTAGGGTTTAGAGTTTAAGGTTTAGGGTTTAGAGTTTAGGGCTTAGGGTTTAGAGTTTAGGGTTTAGGGTTTAGAGTTTAGGGTTTAGGGTTTAGAGTTTAGGGTTTAGGGTTTAGGGTGCTTTTTTTGGTGGAAAGGCGGGCGGGTTCTGGATTTTGTCTGTGCTGGATTTGGGGTTTGGAGTTGAAGGGCAGCTCTAGTCGAAAGTCAGAGCCTGTGGAGCATAAGGTCGTTTTGGGAGTTCCTCTAAGCTTCAACCCTAAACCTTAAACGCCCCAATCCCAAGCCCTAGGAGTTTACGGGGAGCACATCTTGGAATGACATGAGTTCGGGCGCAGCGTATAGCAAGGTGGAAGCTGAGAATTCTGTAAACGTTTTCTAACTAGGAGCAGTCCACCGACGGAGAATGACCAACAAGGACATGACAGCGAACCCACAAACGAAGAGCATCCGTCCAAGGTTCATCCAGCGCTGAGTGAAGGGTGCAGACAGCTTTTTCAGCCCGTGTGGGCAGCAGCTGGGATGAGTTCACATAGGCTCAAGATGATGCTCTCCTAGACAAGCGTCCCGAGCAAGTGCCTCTTAGGGCTCTGCCTACTTTTCTCCGTGCCCTGAACCCTAAACCCGAAACCCCGGGAGCCCAAAGCCATACAACCCTCAACCCTAAAGCCTGAGCATGCCTGAGCCCAAAACCCTAATCTTATCACGAGACGGCCAACACAAACTACCCATGATCCAAGTGTAAAAGGAGGGACCCTTAATAAGGACCCCCAGGTATATACCCTTAATATAGCTACTATATACCCATTATATAGCCCATTATAGGGTAGGGGTCCCCATTAAGGGTCCCTCCTCTTCCCGTTTGAAATGAAGAGCAGAAGGTCCATCGAGATGGCAGCGGTCAGCTCTGCCAGGGTTTACCTGAAAGAAACTTTAAGGGCTTTGGTGCCAAGGTAAGGACGTAGTCAACAACAGAATAAGGAGCCTTAAAAAGGTAGGTTCTATAGGGTTCAGTTTGGGGAGATAGAGTTTCGGGTTTAGGGACCCTTACGAGTTACGAGTTTTACTATCGCGGGGTTGCCTCGTTCTTCCAATCATCGTTTCTCTCGGTCGCTATAACTCCCATTATCGCTGAGTTGTCCTCTTGGCCTTTGTCGTTTGCGTCGTCCTTTAGTTCCCCCAAGCCCTCAGCCCCGAGACCCTGCAAGAAATCGAGGCTTAAAGTTCGAAACGTCAACGTCAAAGGATCTGTGCCAGTATCATCATGCCCGAACCACGAACACCAGCCCCGAACAAAATTACGGGCAGTTTCTTAAGTTTAGACTTAGATTCGGGTCCACAAGACTACTCTCAAAATAAGGAGCCCTTGAAGTTTTACAGCACCCCTAGTTTGGTGATCTTCTCCATGTGCTTGTTGCTCTAAATTGAGTTCCGAAAATCAACTATATAGAAGGTCCGAGCCGCAGGACCAGACAGCCTATTGAGCCTTACGGGGTTTAGGGGTTTAAAGGGCTCAAGGGTTTATGGGTCCGGGGTTTATGGGTTTAGGGCTTTAGAGGTTGAGGGTTTAGGGTTCAGGGAAACTTAATACAACAAGGTTTTGTCCTCAAGGTTGTCCTTGGAAGTATCAGAATCCGTGCCATTCTCAGTAGCATGTCGCGACGTACAGGGAACTCCAGAAAGTTGGAATATGGTTTCATGGTAGGATACCCTATAATTTACCATAGAAGGGTTAGGATAATCATATTCCAACTTTCTGGCTTTTACCTTAAGTCTCTGGCCCTTCTTCTACCAGTACCTCAACATTGTGCACAGGCGGGCACCGAGTGTCAGGGAATCGGCTGACCCGCAACGAACTTGGAAGCACACGTTGCAAAGTTAAACGCGGTGTGTGCATGTATGTATATATATATATATATATATATATATGTGTGTGTGAAATATTATGAAAACATGCAGGTATAAGGAAGTGTATCATGGCAGAGTCTGGTACAAGTAGAGCATACGCTGCTGACCCAAGGGTTGTTGCCACAGAAGATCAGCGCAAGCCTTCTGCTTCTCGTGAAGCAGGTTCTTGAAGGCTCTGGTCACACAGGCGAAGACAGAAATTTTAAAAATGATGCAGGAATTCAGGTAATTAGGGTTTAGGGTTTAGGGTTTAGGGATTAGGGATTAGGGTTTAGGGTTTAGGGTTTAGGATGCGGGTCAGGCTTCGTACTCGGAGCTGCTGCTGGGGAGGGAGTGGAGAGAGTAAGAGAAGGACTCCTTCTCCTCCAGCTACTGCTACGACTACGACGACTACGACGACGACTACTACTACTACTACTGGTACTGCTACTGCTACTGCAAGTACTGCCACTGCTGCAGATGCAGCTGCTACTGCTACTGCTGATATAGAACCTGGCTTGACATGTCGGAAGGCGCAATCCCTGATGCGGCATGCAAAAGAAGCGAATGATGCAGCTTTTTTAAAGCTCGAGATAGTTATCCGCGCGTCGCTACTTCCGTCCTCGACCATGGCTTTGCGGGTGCTCACCCCTGCAGTGTTGAAGGTTTAGGGTTTTGATTAATTGGGGTTTAGGGTGAGCAGAGGGCTATGATGCTATCATGAGGTTAAGGGGTTCTGTCAGGCTTCAGGGCTTGAACTCTGGCAGATAAGTGGCTATTATCCTTAAGGTTCTGTGGCGTTGTATCCCAGACCATTAGACAAAGACTGGCAAAGACCATCAATAACCCAAGTTATCCTAGACCCTGCACAAAGCACAGCTACTGCTGCATCTGCCTATAGGCGTACATATGACACTGCATCAGTCGTATCGCTCCGTCAACATGTGTTTAGCTGCTCAGTTAAAGCCTTTGGAGGATCGACATACTCATTGCCATAGTGACCACAATTGTCCCAGTGGTAATGCTCATAATCGTCATCACCATAACAACCGTTATGCTATTCATAGTAATCCCCTTCCTAAGAGCCTATAGCCCTGAATCCCCAAAAACTGGAAGGTCCGGGTCTCTAAACCGCCCCTGCTTACCTATGTTGGTCCTCCGCCCAAGTTCATTTGCAGGTGCTTTCCTTCCTCATGACCCTGAGCGCAGTTGAGGGCTCAGCGGATTCTGCTCGACAGGTTGCAATATGGGTAGTTCTCTAACGTAGGGTCCCGTTTAGGGTCCTTCTTATAAGGGTGCCTTACAACATTTTGGTGACCTACAAAGGGATCCTAACTTTGGAGAACTGCCTTATAGGACCCTTGTAGAAGCCCTATAGAATCCCTTATAGATCCCTTTAAGGAACCCTAACATCTAAAGGTATCCTAGTTTTAGAGAACTACCCGCAAAAGTCGGATCAAGGAGTAGAACCCCCAACTACCCTCTCTTAGTAGCTGAGTGGATGCACTTTACACTTTTGGGATAATATCACCCACTATACAACTAAAAGTGTACATGTTTGTGGGCTTATGAACTCAGCAACTAAGCACTAATTATGCCCTCAATACCAACTATTCAGGGCTTTTGGGTTTAGGGTTTGGGGCTACCCACTATACAGAACTACAGGGCTTCGGGTGTAGGGATATCCAAAATTCAGGACTGTAGGGTTTGGCGTGTAGGGGATACCCACTATGAAGGACCACAAGGGGTTCAATTAAGGCGTCCTGGTAGTGTGAATCTATATCATATGATCCAAATATGATCAAGGCCCCGTTCGTAGGGCTCGATGGTTTAGTTGTTTAGGACCGTCGGCGCTGATCTGATAAGGTATGGAATATTAGGCCAAAGCGCCAACTGAGCAGTAGGGTATGTGGGGCATGTCGCCGAGTTCCTAAACGAAGCTTGGCGTGCGCATTGAATCAGAGCATTACTTGACCCTCCTCCATTGTGCAACTAATGAAGAGTAGTAGATGTCACTCCATGCCAACACGTAGCTTCCAGCAGACTCCTTCAGTTGCTCTAGTTGCTTAGCTCTCCAAGACCCGATGTTTCAACTTTCTGTGTTCTTGTACTTTAGTAGTTACCTGAAAGTTTGACCTTCTGTTTCCGCGGCTTCTTGGGGTAATGAGTGTACTGGAAAAGCTTTCAGCGCAGATTTTTTTGCTTTCGACGAGTACGTATTGCTTTCCTTTGGCTTGTAGGGAATGGATGAATGGTAGTAATATAGTGGTTATAACTCTACCCCGTTCCTCCATTCCCTACTAATTAACCCAAGGTAAGATTGGTGGATGGGCTCATGTGTGTCCATTTCAAGACATGGATCTTGGTGGCCCTCGTTTCCCAGCTAAACATCTTGACAATGGGTAGTTAGGGTTTAGGGTTTAGTGTTGGAGTCCAGCTCGGCCTGGTTTGCTTTAAGCTGCTTTTTGTTATCTAGTGTTATCTACTAGTTAATGTTTGCTTCATCATTGTGTGGAAATGCCGCAGGGCATGATATAGGTCGCGTTTAGAGTACTACCCTCGTACCACTTCATTCGGCTAGCTGTGCGAATGCCGCTTTGTCAGCAGAAGGCAGGGCGCTTCAATAAGGCACATATAAGTTATCATATAAGCTTCGTGCTGGAAGAAAGCATCCAGCACACAGTGACACAGTGCAAAACTCTTGATATGGCGTATCTGGCAAGTCTGCTCAATGCCTGCGGAGTGATCTTCAATCTTCTCAAATGCCCGCGGGTGTCTGACCTTCAGAAGGTCGCTGCGGCCCACGTAGGTTTGGAAAGCTTGACACGGCAAGTAGCAATGCAATGTCCCGACAAAATGAATCCCGAGATCCGCCGCGGCCAACCTATTCGGATTCGGTAGAGCGGATCAGCGCGCAAGCAGCTGGCTTCCCTATGGACAAACAAGCCCTTGCATTTAGCTGGGCGATCTGGTCCTGCTGGATGACACAAGAAGACTGGGAAGCCGCAAGTCGATGCGGCCCACATGAGTGTCATAGGAGGCCAAAAGGGGCTTTAGCCCCTGGGGGTTTAGTAGGGATTAGGGTTCCCATAATAGGGTTCATCAAAAATCTTAAATCCCCTATTTTGGCCTCCCATCAGAGTGGGGGGTGGTCTTCATTTCAACGTAGTTTCCTGTAGCGGTCTTCTGTGAAGAGGCAGTCGGACTGCTCCTTAAATCAAAGCAAGGATGAATGTTAAATTGCCCGCACTTGGTGATGCGCTGCGCATCGCTTATGTTAGGTTGTTTAGGGCCCGGCTGTACTAATGGGTTAGGGCCTGGATGCCGGTAGGCTACGTGCCTGCGCTTGAGCCTCCCTGTGAACCCACCGTTGAAAGAACACTCACAGGCTTTAACACATACGTACATACCTACGTACACTCAATTATTACCTAATTATACATGGGTGATTGTGAAAATTGTGGTCCCTTTTTGAGTACCCTAAATACTAGGTGCCGTAAATTCTCGGGACCTAAAAAGGGACCATAATTTTGACAACCACCAGATATGCATATATATATATATATATATATATACATATGTATATAT